GAGAGAGAGAGAGAGAGAGAGAGAGAGAGAGAGAGAGAGAGAGAGAGAGAGCCGTCCCTATTCTCTGTTTTGGGAAAATGGTAGTGAAACAGCTGATAGAGCAGGCAGAACACACCTGTTTCACAAATGCTGAAAAGACCAGTGAAACGCTGAAAAATGCTTCACAACACGATTACATCTGAAACTACAACAGATTTCAATTCTGGCATAAGGCTTTAAGATACACAGCAGGAGAGCTTTCTTCATTCCTATAGTCCCTTACCCCTGAATATTTGCTCGGATACCATCAGCTTATATTAAAACAGTAAAATTACTCAGCAGTGGAAACGCTCCTCGATGTGAAATTGTCTTTTCTACATTTCAGCTCGTTTCAGATATTCAAGGAGATTTAAGATAAAAAGTTTCATTTTCTGCCCGACAGTGACAAATAAAGGAACTATCACTGCAGGTGAAATAGCAACAAAAATAATAATAATAATAAGACAAAAAGATACTGTGAAATTTCCTGAACGTGTCTGGCTTACTTTTATTTGCAAAAATATTGGTGAAGTGATTAGTTTGGTAGAAGGCTCCCCTCCCGCCCCCGTGAAGGTTTCTAGATCTGGTTTTCCTCTCTTGCGTTCTCATTGTCTCTGTCTCTCACATACACACACACAAACACACACAAACACACAGTGGTGCTTCTGGCCCACCATTTCCTGCAACAATCAAGCATCTGAGAATGACTGAGACAGAAGATAAAGTAAAGGAATGGGGGAAAAATTGCGCCTTTTAAGTTGACAGAAAAAATATTTGGGGCTCAAGACTCTTCCCTCTTAGCATCACAAAATAAATTAGAGCAGTTTCAGTTGTGTTACAACGGCATTTAAAAAGTTCTTTTTAATATCCCCCCAAATATTTCATTCTTCCAGGAACGGGGAGGGGCTTTCCAAAGGTGGTATTCTGCCAGTTTGCACTGGTTCAAGCCAACTGGTATTAATGGTGGCAGGTGGCTATATTTCTGCCGTGACGGTCTCTTGTGACAAGCCGATAGACAGAGAATGGAAGCAGTTAGTTTCATCCCATGATTGGGGCATACCAGGGGTTGTAACACACACTCTCTCTATCTATCTATATCTATATATCTATATCTATAGTTGTATTTGTGCTGATAAATAAATAAAGGGAGACTAGTATAGATCTATTTCAAGCTATTTAGCTCTCATCAACTAGCTTTACCCTTACTGGGATTCGAACCTGTGCTGTATTACATCTTACATCTTACATCTTACATCTTACATCTTACATCTTAATCTATATCTATATCTATATCTATATCTATATCTATATCTATATC